CGAGAGAACCAGCGAACGCGCCGGCGAACTTATTCTAGATCTATTTTATCGTGGAATATTTATGCTCACATAGTGGTCTTTTTCTGCGCTCTATCGATCGGTTAGGTTCTATTGTTAGGCGACATATAGCAGCGCGAGCGCGCGCGCGCGCGTATCATTGTTCTGGCGGACCGGTTTCAATGATCAGACTGATGACGATATTCCTGTCGAAAACGAACGTTTCAATGTTTACACGCTCGGTTTCGCTTTCCTCGCTTGGGAACGCTCTCGCGCGATGCGCGCGTTTCCTGGCGCGTTTCGGGGCCCGACGGTCGCGTGGAGGGACCGTTTGCGGGGACCGGAATGTGTATTTTTCCTTCTTTCTTTTTTCTTTCTTTCTTTCCGGCGAAACCGAACGTCGAAAGTGCCTAAATCATTGGGCGCGAGCCGCGCCTCTCGACTCCGTCGACGATCGACCTTTCGTTTTACATGTAAATATACTGAAGAAGTCGGTTGGTATATTAATAAACTATTACGAGAGATACCTTTGTCTCTTTTATCTGCTTTCACATTCCTCCTCTCGTCATTTGTTCTTGCGAGCGAAGCGCGAGCCCGCCGCGCGCCCAGCTGTTGCGGATCTTTATACGAATTCCTGCTTTAACGCATTATTTTACGAGCGGACCGCGGATTTTTATGCGAACTGAACATTTCACCCGGATTCATTGCTAGATACGTGGACGTTTTTTTCGTTACTTAATTGCTTTGTTTCGTCGGAAACGGTGCGGTAGATTTTTAATTATATATAGTATATTAGTAATATTATATAAATATATTGTTAATATATTAGTGTATATTTATGTAATATATTAATAATTTTATATAAATGTATTATTAATGTATTATAATATAATTATGTAATATTATTAATACATTTTATATTATTAATATAAATATATTTATATAATATTATTATATAATATAATGTTATTAATAAAACAAACTATAGAAATTTATGCATTTATGACAAAAACGAGTAGATTAGTACAAAACAATTAAAAATATATTCAAAGAATTAAAAAATTTATTATTATTAATATATTATAATATATTTATATAATATTATTAATATATTATATATTAATAATATAAAAATCTCTTATAATATATTTATATAATATTAATATATTACATATTATTCATATAAATATATTATAATACATTAATAATAATACATTTTTTAATTCTTTGAA